CTTTTTTTATGCAAAGTGAAAATGAAATGTTTATTACTCCATGATTGATGGTAGCTCAGGAGGCAGGATACTGATTTGATTATACTTTTTGTGTTTTTCTGTTGGCCAGCTGGAGTGAGTAAATACTGATTGATTCATAGTGTTCTCTGTGTTTCAAGGTCAGGAGAGAAGGGAAGATTGTTGCAGATCATTGAAAAGTTTGGTGGTGTGGAACTGCCCTAAGTTGAAATAAGAAAAAGAAATTATTTATATACCTCCATTTCTCACTATTGTTGCAGGAGTGAGACATATTTTAATCAATGAAACATTTCGTTTTTGATTCATGATTGTATTAGTATTGAATGGATGGATGTTGCTATGTCAACTGGCATTTCCTCTTATCATTTTAAAACTAACTCAGACAATGCAATGTAAAAAAAAAGAGAGATTTATGACTTTATCTCAGCATTTATTTCAGTGGAGAGCACAGTCTGTTAGAAGGCCTCCATTACAGCCCACCAGAAGGGTTCAAACCTTTTAAATTTCCCCATCTGCTTCCCCCGTATTTTCCCATGAAAGTTGTGCTCTGCCTAACCTGGCAAAATTATAATGTTTGACATACACAAAGATAGAGGGATGCATCCTTTGCACCTCATGTTAGTTTTTTTCCCCTCTTGAGTATTTATGACTTTGTGGGGAGAAGCATAACTTCGATATATGAGATGCTACTATAAATCTCTGTACTCCGGAAGCCCAGCCCCACATTCATAAAATAGTAGCAAAAACGTAAACTATAAAACATAGAACTGTAGTGATAGAGCGATTATACAGAGAGAGAGAGATGGTAGATTATTGTAATTAAAAAGATGAGAGTGATGATGATGAGGAGGAGGAGGAGGAGGAGGAGGGGGGGGTTATAGGTTTAGCCACCCTTGAGACTAGAAGACACCTAAGGACATAAGTCTGTCTGATCCAAGGCGCATTGGTTCCCTCTTCATCAACTTCCGCTCTTACAGTATGACTGTAAGAGCAGGAGAGAATGACAAAGATGGGGGGGAAGCAGTTTGAGCGGTCCCACTCACCTACAGATGGCTCTAGACATGTTCCACTCCACGGGGATAGAAAGTTGTCCATATCATGGGTGTAACAATGATATTCAATATAATTCTGCTTTTTTAAAGTTTCTATTGCATCTAAAAGTGAATACTAGCATCTTAAATTGTGCACAGTAAATGTGATGACCCGGGGCGTGGCACAAAAATAACCAAAGTCACCAAAGTAGATAAAATTCCCTTTAATGCCTCCAACCTGGCCCACAATGTCCAATTATCCTCAGCAGGAGATCAAACTCTTCCAAAAACAGTCTACAAAGGGAAGAAATGCAGTCCGAACCCAAAATACAGATAAAGTAGAAATAAAAAAAAACCAACACAAACCACGCTGAAGTCATTAACATGACAGACCGGGATAAGAACTTGCAGACTTCCAAAAGATAACGAAGCACACACAGTTGGGAGGACGCCAAAACCCAGATAAGCCTCGACAAAGATAATGCACGCTTTGCTTCCAAGCAACTTTGCCATGCGCAGTTTGCCCTTTTAAGCAGTCTTCCCAGCTGCAGCCCATGAAGGGGATCAGGGCCCTTTCCTCCCCCGTAAACCACCTTGCTCCCTTATCCGTTCCTCCCTGTGTGTCCTAGGATGAAGAGGGGGTGGGCCTGGGTTTTCCTCTGAATGCCCAGCCGGCCTATGTCCTTCCCCAGTTTCCTCCACAGCCACCAGAGCCACACTCCCATTCCCTGTCAGCTGTTCCACCTCTCCCTCGGAATCAGATTCCAACTGGATTCCAACATGACAGTAAACAACCCATGTAGATCTTTAATTTCAAACATTATGTGATCCTTGTATCTGTACTAGCCGGTATGATTATATGATTCCTGAACACTTTTCAGTGGTAACACCATTGCAATAATAAAGAGTATTGTTACTACAGTAGATGTAATGATGCAGAAGCACTCCTAACCAACTACAGTTCCTTCCTATGAGTCCAGTATCAAATGAGAATCAGGGAGCACTTCCAGATTTTGGATCTCTTACTTGATCCTCGGTCCTGTACCAACACCTGCCTTCAATTCTGCATTAAAACCAATTCACAGGTAGTCCTTGACTTACAATCATTCATATAGTGACCACTCAAAGTTACAACATCACTGAAAAAAAGCGACTTATGACTGTTTCTCATGCTTACAACCATTGCAGCATCCCCATAGTTACGTGATCAACATTTGGACACTTGGCAACTGGCATGTATTGAGGCCGGTTCCTGAGGCCATCTGATCACCCTTTGTGACCTGCTGACAAGCAAAGTCCATGGAGAAGCCACATTCATTTAATAGCCGTGTTATTAACATAACAGTGGAGCAAGAAAGGTTGTAAAATGGGGCAAAACTCACTTAACAACTGTATCCTTTAGCAATGGAAATTCGGAGCTCAGTTGTGGTTTGTAAGTCCAGGACTATCTGTATAGAGTATTTGCGTTACTCTACAATGTTGCACTAATGCAGATTATTATTATTTTTTAATGAATTTTTCCATTTTGGACTCTACTTTTTAATTTTGTCTTTTCTGCCTATGTTTACAGTAAAATTTAGATCTGAAATGAATGCCTAATCTGACATATCTGAAATAGGTCACATTAGAGGCATACCATGTTTTTTAAAAAAAATGAGGAGTGGCATCAGAAAAACAAAGGCTTCAGTTTCTGAGTTTCAGAAAATAAATACATAAATCTGTTACCATGTGTTCTTTGCAATAACAAAAATAGGCTTTGTTTAGCAGGCTTGAGTTCCAGCATACATAACAAACAGCCCTATCAGATTAGTATTTTCTATCCCATACTTGAGAAAGGGGGGAAAGGGGCTTGTTGGTGGGAGTTGCTTTCCTGAAACACATGTAGTGAGTGACTTCCTAGCATTACGTTAGAAGTGAAAATTGGGGATTTGTCATTTCTGCATCAGCTTTCTCTGATCTGAGTGCCCTCCAGTGTATGATTTTCATTTTCCAGAATTCTTGGTAAAGGCCATACTGGTTGGGGGTTTCTGGGAGTTCTTTGGTTCAAACAGAAATCCTTTTGAACTTTGGAAAGGAATTTAATTGGCTTGAGTTTGATGAATAAACATGGCTTTATTTGTAGTGAGTTCCTTGGTCTGTTTTTATTTTTGAATTCTTCTTCGTTGGAGCACTGAAATGTAAAGCGATATTTGGGTTGACTGTTTAGGTTCAACTCTGAGCTTTGGCTTACAGTAAATATGAGTTTTGTCCTACCAAAGTATCACTTTACACAAATCTGCCTTTGTGAAGCTCAGCAAATAAACCTTTCTAGCATATAAACCCCAAACTGATGATTTGTTTACTGTTAAATATTTACTGTGAAGCACTATGGACTTTTAAAAACTGGTTATTCTAGTTTGTCTCTTCTAGCAAATGCTGTAGTTTGTAAGAACTTTCTTATTTTTAGTCCTCTTGTCTGTGCTACTTCTTTGATTAGGCAGGAAGGACTAACATGAGCTCTAATCTTTAATGCACACATAATATAACTGTATTTTCAAAATAAATAACACCGCATTCTGGTGGGAAAAGGGAACACAGAATTAATATTCGGTATATTTGATGTCACTTAAACTGACTGAAGGGAACTGAACTCATCATCTCTTTGGAGGAACTGGTATATTAGATATATATTAACAGCCTACAAATTTCTATGGTCCTAGGCAATGAGTAGCATTTTTATAAAAAAAAGGACATAGGAAGAAAATTATTTTAAGATGTTTCACTTTCAGCACAAAGTGAATTAATTTTACTAAAATGTCCAAAGCAGAAATAGTACCTTAGAGCTTTTTATCACCATATCCTTGCTTCAGCTTTGTCCTTGTTAACATGCTCATAATAAATTAAACTCAATTTGTTCTTTTGCTAGATAATTTGGTAAAGTAAAATTAAGTTGTCTCTATCAAGGGAAGTTTCATAGCAAAACAAACATCTTCATCCAATTATTGGTAATCAGAATTCAGTTCTGCCAGCTATACAATGCTGGTGCTGCCAATAACCTTAAACTTGTATGTGTGTGTTTTAAAAATTCTTATAGGGCTCATTATGCTATCATCTGATTGCATTATATTGACTGGAAATGACTTCTACATCTGCCATTCTGGATTAATACAACTCTTTTATTTTCCAGGTAGATGGGCCTATTCACCACTACATTTGGAATCAGCCATTTGTTATGTGGTTTAATTAAAAACACACCCATGCCAACATCTAGACAACGAAAGAATAGGAACATAGGCCATATGTCATATTGGCCTACATGTGTCATAGGGCATAAAGGTAGTCCTTGAGTTACGAATACATAAGTCATAGGACATAAAAGTAGTCCTTGAGCCTGCCCATTCCATTCGTGACCTGAGGATTCGTAGAAGTGAATCTCATATCTTGAACGCAATCAATCCCTGCTTTCACCCACGCATTCAATAATCGAATGTGTGGCTTGTTAGTGTACATGAGGTATTTTGGGGTGGGGAAGTTTATGGGGGGGGGGCTAGTGATGGAACAGGCGACCTGCTTCAAACCACCCAAGGCCTCTCCTGATCCAAAGATACCTCATTCTCCCTCCCTTGGGGT